AAATTGAAGAACCAAATTACCCTCTTCTTTCCTTCTACAACAAGTTGAAAAGTCAAAAGTTTCCCTCCTTATTTCTCTTTCATAATCAAAAGAATCAAACTTTCCCACTTCTTTCTCTTCCCACATATCAAAACCACCAAAATTCCCACTTGTTTCTTTTCTAAAAAATTCAAAGAACCAAATTTACCTCTTCTTTCTCTTCCCAAAAACTTGAATACACCAAAATTTTCCTCTTCTCTTAAAAACATCAAATTACCAAATACATTACTTTACTTTATTTAATTGATAATTTTATTGAATAGTTAAATTAACCAAAATTTTAATTTATATATTATATTAATATTGTCATGATCTCAAGTGACCTTCATGTTTCAATTTTTGTAATTTTCTTAAAATACGTAATATCAAGTGAGTTTCATATTTTTAAAATTTCTTATACGAAATGAAAAAATAATTTTACTTAAGTTTAGAATGAAAAACTTTATTTTGAAAAACTATGTATTGTATATTTTTTAATTATTCAAGTGGATTAGATGAAATTTGGGTTGAGTCGGTCGGGTTACGGGTTAGTCGGGTTCGGGTCAATCGGGTTCGGGTTAATTGGGTTGCGGGTCAGTCGGGTTGCGGGTCAATCGGGTTCGGGTTAATCGGTTTGCGAGTTAGTCGGGTTGCGAGTTAGTTGGGTTGCGGGTCAATCGGGTTGCGGGTCGGGCGGGTTACGGATTGTTGACTTTTAGTCAATTCGGGTTGCGGTCGGGTTGCGAGTCGGATTGATCATGCGGGTTAATCGGGTCGGGCTATGTTTTGACACCTATAAGTGTAAGGGTGATGAATAGGGATGGCAATGGGGCGGGTTTGGGGCGGGTTTGCTTAAATCATCCCCATACCCATCTTCAAATACCCAAACCCATACCCGCCCCATACCCGTGCGGGGAATGTTTTGCAAACCCATCCCCATACCCGTGGGTTTCGGGTACCCATGGGTAATACCCATACCCGTACATCCAACATTATTATACCTAAAACTTACATGAAAAGTTCTAATTATAATTCTAAACGAACATATTATATCATGAAGTCAATAAAACACGGTCATTTTTTAAAATGGTTCAAAGATTATGATCCTAAAATATCCATTAATACATAATATAGAGTATAATATTTTTCAAATTATTATGTTCTAACTCTGATACATCTACTAAGTAATAATTAACTAACATAATCTTGTTGACAAGGGGGAAAGTGAAAGAGTGAAATAAGGATTGAGAGAAATGAATTAGATTTTGATTAAGGTGGTCAATCAATTGCATTTCTACTATTTATTTTTCTCAAGTTATCCTCATCATCATTGATAGATTATAATTTGATGCACATATTTTTTTTATATATGAAGAAATTATCTTGGTGGGGCGGGTATGGGGCGGGGGAGGCAAAAACCATACCCGCCCCATACCCATCAAACTTTTTGCGGGTTTTACCCATATCCGCCCCATACCCGGTCAAAGCGGGGATTCCCCGCGTTGACTGGGTCGGGGGCGGTCAGATACCCGCGGCCATGGGTTTGATTGCCATCCCTAGTGATGAAGGACTTCCTTGTCATGAGATGATAGAACATTCATAAAAACGTATGGATATGTGGCTTATCACTATCCCTTGAGAGTGCTTATACTCCTCAGAATTGAGTCTTCTGCTATTAATTGCAAAAAGGGTTTGGTTTGTATCATATTACGTTAAAAAAACCTACCAATGCAACTCTAACATAAATACCGCTAACATAAAAGTTGTTGTCACAAATAAAATGTGGGATAAAAAGCACCACGTGTGAGGCAATCATTCATTGCACAGAGCGTACTAGAAAGATTCGATCGAGCACCAACTCGCGCCCGTACGAAGTCGCTTATCGATTACGACTCCCTCATCGAGTGAAGTGCCATTCTTCACAATCGCACTTACCTCCACAAGGATCGAGGAAAATGAGTTAAATGTAGTTAGTTATGCGTGTGTCAGGATGTCAAAATTTCCCTTTAATCAAAGAATGGTAAGTGTCTATGTACAAAGTAAGATAAACCTACTTGTGCTACAAGAAAGTACAATAGCTAGGCATACTTAATATAAAAGAGAGAACTTCTAAAAACTTTATTAGCTTGTAAAAAAGGTAGAGGTGTGTTTCATATGTTGGGAAAAGATGAACACCCTTCGCCCATTCCTTAGTGTGACTCATGAGTTGAGAATAAATCAAGATCATTCGAGACAAATCATTATGTACTTACGAGTTACTTTTTGAGCTTCAATACTAAGTGTGAGATTTGACCTTGAAAGCTTTTTATGATCCACTATCTACGATCGAAAGTTACGTGCCATCATAGAGGTCTAATGAGTTGTATTATTTTGAGTTTGGTTTATTTGGGGATAAGCAAAGTTCAAGTGTGATGTAATATGAAGACACGTAATATATATTATTATATATCTCTTTTTAATGGCATGTTCTACACATTTTTTTCACATTTTGTCATAATTACTTGGATATTGATCGTCCCTGTGCAGGTCATTGTTAATTGTTTGCATGGTTTAAGTAACTACTACATTCCAACCAAGTTTAACTCGAAACATCCTTGCTATATAGTGGTGATCAAGGTTGTATTCTACGGGTTTTGATATCGTAGCCTACTTCTCACTCTATTGTTATCTAACCAATCAGTTTTGGGGTTTGTTTTGGAGGATTCAATTGAAACTACTGGTAGAGGGAAAACATGGATAAAAACAGGTTCTTCGGGGTAACTTCCTCTCCCTATTTTAGGTCTAACATGCAAACGAACATCTATGTTGGGTTTATCGGATATGATGAGTGAGCTCTTTTCTATGTGCTTTCGTTTTTATCCCACACCTCCGAGTACACCCTACCAAGACCCATTGTCACCTTAGTCAATGCTCACGTATATGAGACATTAGGTCTATAGCTCATTTCAATAGGTACTACCTATCGTGCACGTCGAAGAGTCGAATCTGTACGCTTGTGAAACTCTAAGGCTTCATCCTAGGAAGACGTTTTTGTAGCAAGGGTTCGGTCCCCTCGTCCACTACAAAACCCTAAAATCATTCATTTATCCTTAATCTGCCAATTGGCGCTACCCGTCTAACTCTAAAACTCCTACCCACCATAATAGCTCATCATTGGCTAGTAGAGAAGGTTAGGGCAACTTACCCAAGCATAATTAAGCATACATGAGAAAGAAAATCACTAGACAAACACATCGATTCATAAACCCTAACAAAATCATCCATTTACATAATAAACCTAATCTAGGATTTGGTCTTTTTAACACCTAGTACCTTAGAGGACTACTCCATGAAGTAGGGAAGAAGAACCATGGAAGAAATATAAGGAATCTTGATGGGTAAAATGGCTCCTTCCTTCTAGCTCCTCCTTCTTCTCATCTTCTCCTTCTTTCAGCTTCTCTCTCAACTTTTTCTCTCAAGAACCAGAAATTTCAATCAAAATCAGCTCATGTTGCAAGGCAAAGGGTCTCCTATTTATAGAGTTTCTGAAGTAGGGCAAGTTCACGGTCGTGCATTCAAAGTTCACGGTCGGGAACTTGGGGTCTGAGGCCGCAATCTTTATCCATTGTCGTTTCATGCTTTGGCCAGGGGGAGATTGCGGGCTGACTTCACGGTCGCGAATCGTGAGTCGCGACCGCAATCTTTGCTACGGGATGGGAAGACAAAGGCCGCGAAAAGATGATCGAAACTCTCTGCTTCTCCCGTGATGGCCTCTTATGAAGTTCACGCCTAAAGTGCCAAAGTTTGGGGTTGTGAACTCTCCTCCTTAGACCGCGATCTCAGCTCCATCTTCGCTCCCTCTTCTCCCGACCGTGATCTTCTAGTTCCACGCCATGATCTTTAGCTTTTCCCATCCTTGCTACACTTGTGACCTTTTTGGTATCTAACTCACATATATTGTCTAATACAACCTAATATGACAAGATAATCTAAAAGGAACAAAATATGAATGTATCGGACAATGTATTAATCATTATGCACATAAAACGACTCAAAAGAAACCTAGATATGAGGTATAAATAACACCAATTTGTGTGTTATCAGATATGCTTGGTATTTCTCAAAGTGGGCATTTGATAGCCTTTATGTTTGTTATCACACATTTGATACCTTCTTGGATAGTTTATGGATATTTTCAGGCCAAGTGAGTAGAGAGGTTCATGTTAATATCTTTGTATATGTTTTGTAATCTTTATCATATTGTAATCATTTCATCACAATCGATCATTAATTGATTGACCTAACCCAGCTCCTAAGGAGTGAAATATGTAGGACTCATCATAGTCTAGAAGATGTATCCATCATCATACATATGGCAGGTTGAAATTGCATCACATGATCGATCAATTTATATGGCATAGAAGTCCATCAACCCTAGGGGAAGCATAATATGATGGTCATTTTGCCTACTTCAGTTTGATTCCATCAACCCTAGGGCGGTAGACTGGATTCCTACGATTTAAAATCCATGCAAAAACACAACTTAACCTCAATGGTCATGCAGTTCAAATTATGTCACAATCGATATGTGTTCTTGACTTGCCTAAAGGGATGGTTACCTCAACCTAGGCCAAGAACAAGAACTATCTACATTTGCAGCAAAATAATGGCATAATAAAACATCAATGGACCAGGCTGCACCGGAGGTTGCGGATGAGATGGAGGCTGAGCCAGCTGCGGAGGACCAGGCTGCGCCGGAGATGGCGGAGGAGATGAAGGCTGAGCCACCTGTTCCACCGGAGGAGGACCAGGTTGCGGCGGAGGTGGCGGAGGAGGTGGAGGATGAGCCAGCGGCTCCACCTAAGGAGGACGCGACTGCGGCGGAGGTGGCGGAGGAGGTGGAGGCTGAGCCAGCTGCTCCACCTGAGGAAGACTAGGCTGCTCCGGAGGTGGCGGAGAAGATGGAGGCTGAGCCAGCTGCGGAGGACCAAGCTGCGTCGGAGATGGCGGAGGAGATGGAGGCAGAGCCAGCTGCTCCACTAGAGGAGGACCAGGATGCTCCAGAGGTGGCGAAGAAGATGGAGGCTGAGCCAGCTGCGGAGGACCAGGCTGCGCCGGAGATGGAGGCTGAGCCAGCTGCTCCACCGGAGGAGGACCAGGCTTCTCTGGAGGTAGCAGAGAAGATGGAGGCCGAGCCACCTGCTCCACCGGAGGAGGACCCGGCTACGCCGGAGGTGGAGGCTGAGCAAGCTGCTCCACCTAAGGAGGACCAGGCTGCCGCACCGGAGGTTGCGAATGAGATGGAGGGTGAGCAAGTTGCGGAGGACCAGGCTGCGCCGGAGATGGCGGAGGAGATGGAGGCTGAGCCAGCTGCTCCACCGGAGGAGTACCAGGCTACTCCGGAGGTAGCGGAGCAGATGGAGGCTGAGCCACCTGCCCCACCGGAAGAGGACCAAATTGTGGCGGAGGTGGCGGAGGAGGTGGAGGATGAGCCAGCGGCTCCACCTGAGGAGGACGAGGCTGCGCCGGAGGTGGCGGAGGAGGTGGAGGCTGAGCCAGCTACTCCACTTGAGGAGGACTAGGCTGCTGCACCGGAGGTTGCGGATGAGATGGAGGCTGAGCCAGCTGCTCCACCGGAGGAGGACCAGGCTGCTCTGGAGGTAGTGGAGAAAATGGAGGCTGAGCCACCTGCTCCACCGGAGGAGGACCAGGCTGCGGCGGAGGTGGCGGAGGAGGTGGAGGCTGAGCCAGCTGCTCCACCTGAGGAGGACCAGGCTGCTGCACCTGAGGTTGCGGATGAGATGGAGGCTGAGCCAGCTGCGGAGGACCAGGCTGCGCTGGAGATGGAAGCTGAGCCACCTGCTCCAACGGAGGAGGACCAGGCTGCGGCGGAGGTGGCGAAGGAGGTGGAGGATGAGCCAGCGGCTCCACCTGAGGAGGACGAGACTGCGCCGGAGGTGGCGGAGGAGGTGGAGGCTGAGCCAGCTGCTCCACCTCCGCTCTCTCTCTCTCTCTCTCTCTCTCTCTTGTGCGGCAGACTGCATGCATAGCAGCTGCAAAAAGCAGGTCGCAGAGGACTGTGAGTGAGTAATTATCCAAAACTTAGCGTGTAACAGGAATTACCTGCAACATTTCTATTTTCAATACGTTTATGGGGTGTTATTTAATTTTAGAACGTTGGATGCTTGGACGCCAGCTTGATCGATCATTGGACCCTTTGATTCCCCACTAATTCGTAAGAGAGGTACTAACGACCTAACTTTTTAAATTTATTTCCCTAATTTAAAAAAGTTCACGATTTTGCCCTTAAAAAATCCCCAATTTCTAACTAAATGCGTAACCCTACTTAATAGCTTCAGCCTCCCTACCGCTGCCGTTTGCCCTGAAAGGATGCTCATCGTCGGCGAGGATGTCACCTCGAGGAATCATCCGGCGAGCAGTTGATCGCTCGAAAAGGCGTTCGGAAGGAAGGTCCTGGTCGAGGAGCCCGAGAGGAATCATCGTCGTCAAGAAGCTGTTGATTGCACACCGAGAAGAATCATCGCCGCTGTCGCCCGAGAATCCCATCATCGTACATCATCGTCGTCGTTCTCCATTAATCCCTCGCGACATGCCTGCAGGTGCGCCGATAGAGGACGTAGATAGAATCCCGCCGCTGTTCGTGCTCAGTGCGCCGGTCAAGTCTGCCTTCGCGATTCTCTGGTGAGGACGAAGAAGGAAGCGCACCGGGTCAAGTCCGGTTGAAAATGCAGGAATTGGTTGGGTTGGATTTGATCTGGTTGGACACTCTTTTTCTTTACATAGGTTGGACACTTATTAACAATATAAAATAATTAAATAATTCCTCAAAGGAAAAGGACATCATATTTATTTAATTTGATTATTTAGAAGATGAATTAGTAGTTGCAGTCATTGTTAAAGTAATATTATGTTTCCGAGTTAGTGTAGGATTTGTTTTTCTATTCCTAGAAGGGTAGTACATGCTTTTGCAACTTCTATAAATACAGAATGTAAGACCTACGAATTTTACAGAACACAATTGAAATAAAGACGTGTAATCGAAGATAATCAAGTTTGAATAAGGATATTTCCTTTGGAGTTTATTATGAGTAATTCGGTAAGTATTTCATTTGTTTATTGTTTGATAGTTTCATTATTGTACCATAATTCTTGCATGGCTCAACCTTATATGTCATTATCATATTTAATTGTAGGGAGATTCTGGAGGTGATGAGGGTGACAATTTTGATTACACATCATTGTTCATAAGCGATGTTGTTTATGATACCCGTGTCGAAGCTTGTGCGGCGGCAAAGGATATTGCCCAAAGAAATAGATTTTTCTTGGTTGTGGGATCAATCAAGCGAAACCGAGGAGAAGACTATCCGCGGGTATATATGGATTGCAACCATGGTAATAGGAGCAAATCATATACCCCAGATTTGACGAAGACAAGACGGGTCAAATCAAAATCAGGCAAACAAGGTTGTCAATTCCAAGTTGCAGTGCGGGCTTCATTGGTAGATGGCAAATGTCAGTGGAGAATTTTGGGTGGTATGGACAGATATGGGAAGTCAAAGGGATTTCACAATCACAAATTGGAGGTTTATTCTGAAGGAAGCAAGCAAAGGAATGCTCTTTCAAAAGAGGGAAAAAATGAAATTAAGGAGTTGGAGGCAACACATACTCAGGCGAGAGATATAAGAAGTTTTATAAATAGGAAGTATGATGCTCATCACAACATGGATCAGGTTTATAATGAGACATCAAAGATTAGGCGTGAGAGATTGGGTGGCCTTTCCCCTATGCGGTGGACATTGATAGAAGCTTACCGTCTTGGCTACTTCATTGGGGTTGATTTTGATGATGACCATTGTGTTACTAGACTCTTCCTTTGCCATCCAGAGTCTAATAAGATGTTGAGCGCATGGTATTTCGTTATTTTGATAGACTCGACGTACAAGACCAACAAGTATAAGCAACCACTGGTTCAGTTGATTGGTGTTAGTCCGGTGAAGAAGAACTTCGACATAGGGTTCGCATTGGTTTCAGATGAGACAAAGGAGACATATGCTTGGGTTTTGTCGCAATTAAAGAATGTTCTTGGTGGTCGAAGACCAGATGCGTTCGTCACCGATAAGGAGGGAGGGTTGGGTGTCTCCGTTCGTGAGATCTTTCCATCTTCAGCTCATTTACTATGTGTGTGGCACATGAAGAAAAACATTGAAGCTAAGATGATGTCTATCGGGTCAAGTCGAGAATCTGCAGAGGCGTTTGTAGCAGGGCATTGGCAGACACTTATGAATACCAACACGCAAAGAGGGTTCCAGCAGCGGTGGGTAGACTTGCAGAATAGTGAGTGGGGTACAAACCTACGCTTCATGAACTACTTGAAGGGTGGGTGGATACCATGTGCGCAAAGGTGGGCTCATTGCTACACCAATCGTGTTTTCCATATTGGTAACACGAGCACAAACAGGGTAGAGTTAGTTCATTCGTCCTTGAAGAAATGGCTTGCCAGTTCGACCCACAAGATCGACACACTCTTTCTCAGATATCACACATCTAATGAGGGAAAAGTGACTGAACTAAGAAAGGACTTAGAGGATTCGCGTTTGAAGGTATTTTCATTTTTTCTTCAATGGTGTTGATATTCCTCCGTATACTCAATTTGATTTTGACTTAGAAGTTCGTTCTTTAAATAGGTATTTAAATTAGCTGATGGTCCGCCATATGGTCACTTGAATATGGAAGTAAGCTTGTGGGCAATTGAGTTGTTGATGAAAGAACGAGCAAGAGAAATTATTCAGCGATGTGGATGTCGGCTAGATGAGACACATGGTTTGCCATGTAAATGTAAGATGGATGCACTTAGTGATGCCGGCATGGAGTTACACCCTCACCACTTACATCGATTCTGGTCATCTTTGGTGTATGAGAGTCCTCCTGATGGTGCAAAATGGGAGGACCATGATGCCACTGAGCGTGGAATTTTTGCAGCCATGGTGGAGGATGTGTTAAGGCAAGGACCAGCTACTGCCCGGAAGGCATCTCAATTAATACTCCCTCATATTCGTCCACAAGTTGCAGGCCTATTAGAGCCTAGAGAGTCAGAGGCTCCGACGGGACGACCACCAAAGAGGTCGAACACTAGAGATCCTTCTTGGTATGAGCATGAGAGGACACGATCGGAAAAGAGGAGCAAAGCAAATGAGAACACGAGAAAGACACACAAGACGACTCCTGCGGGTTAGCAAAATCCTTATCTTTTTGGTGTTATCATACTCCTTGGTATGTAGCCGTTTATAGTAGTTATTTTTTGTACCAACAGGAGGTGTCTCGAAAAGTCAGCATATGCAAGTCCACAATGAGAGAAATGTTTGTCCTTATCTCCGCTATATCCCACTTAGCATCCGCCCTCTTCTTAGAGGTTGGTTTGACCCAAAACCAGACGGGCAATCTGGTTTTCGAGCCATGTCACATGTGATTTATGGAGACGAGGAACACTACTTACAAATGAGGCAAAATCTTGTCACAGAAATCAATGATCATAGGCCTATCTATGAGGGGGTTTATCTTTAAAGAGATGGATCGTTGGAGGCAACACGTCATAGGCTGGATCGTGGAATGCTGGGAGTTGCACACAAGAGTATTGGTTTGACGAGGTGGATTTGCTGACATTCGCAACCCTATACAACTGTGCAATTGTTGTTTATGGACTGTATAATGAACGAACCACGTATGGGTACACAGTCTTACCTTTGACGGCGCCGGAAGGGGTCACTCAACCTAGTCAAAGTTATAACTCTTGTTTTTACTGGGGCACATTGGGTGCGACTATATTTTGGCGAAGTTGATGGGGTCACACCAATACCTCATTTTAGTCCACAGTGGTCTCACTTTCGGGATATGCTAAGAATTGCTGATTGGGATTCGTTATACGAGCCAGGGCGACAATTGTATGTCGATCTCGGAGGACATCATCCAGCCAATGACGATGACAAGAGTGATTAAACATTGTTGCATTTTTTTTTTAAGATTGAACATTATGTCGAATTATGGATTTACCTTTGTGTCATTATCAAGTGATTTGGATTTTATATTCTTATGGATTTACCTTTGTGTCATTATCAAGTGATTATTATTTTATATTCTTACATATAAAGAGGATTGTAATTATCCATTTTTTTATGGAATCATATTGTCTTGAAGCCCTACTTATAGATATTATTTATTAATATACAATTTAAGCATTGATTATAGCAATTCATCACCAATCATATAAATTCATCTCTAATAAAAAATGTAGATTAATTGTAAAATGTAAATCACACTATTTAAAAACTAAATGTAAATCTCAATGATTGTACGTTAATTATAAAACTCAATATTGATTATAAAACCAATTAATTATACATAACTAATTAATTATAACACAATATTTAAATGTTGTAAATTATTTATATATATACCAATAAAATCATCACTCATAATAATAATAATTGTACATTAAGGTGTCCTGCAATTTCGAGCATAAAATCATCACTGATAATAATAATAATAATAATAATAATACATTCTA